TCTGTCAGAGACAACTACTACAAACCTGGCTCAAACGGTGGAGATGAGCGCCATTTGTACCTAGTAAAAAATCACCACCCGATATATTCCAAACCGTTTATTTCTTCAAAAAATATTAATTTTTAAATTTATGTAAGCGGAATAAATCAAGCAAAGAATAAATCCGCAGATTATTTGTGTAAGAGGTTCGAGAGTCTCTTAGAAAGTAAGTTTGCAATAATTTAATTTTTCAGACCTTACTCCTTCAGATCAAGAATAATAACTGCATAGTCAACCACGATGACTTCAGCAGGAGAAAACGCGGTAGTTGATTGCTTTCGGCAGGACCGCACGACAAGTAAACAAAAGGCCAAAGCAAACTGAGGACCTCATTACCCAGTTGCATTGAATATTATATTTAGCTTAGTAGCGTTTGAATTTCAGCCCCTCCAGACTGAAGAAGGCCAGAACCGTTCACAACGCCTACTGGAGTTGCTGATCCGACAGGAAACAGACGGTGGGAGTTGAAAATGCACGCATGGACAAGTTTATAAACAAAAGTCAAATACAAAAACAAAACCTGATTATTCCAAATGGCCGCACCAAATTCTTCTTCAACTTTGTGAGATGACGTTGGCCGTGAGAACCAAACATGTTTTTGACGTCCAAAAATTTATTAATGCTCCTGGATCACCTTCTGCGCAGAAAATGAAACGGACTTTGGAAACTACGGCGAAGACACGTTGCTGATTTTCTTCAGAGATACACAACCTACGCGTCAGGCACCATTCTCCCCAGTGATAAGGGCGTTTCAGTGAACTGGAAAAAAATTTCCTACGCCTCCTCATAACCGGTTATCCTCGTGATCCGCAACGACCGATATCCGTAACGGATGAATTTGAATATTATTAGATTTGCATGTTATTTAAATGTGCTTCGTGTCTATTTCACCGCACATGAGGCATAGAATGTTTTGCATATCACAAGATCAGAGGCACGGCAGCACATGGAGCGTTTTCGAACTCTTGGTCATCGCCAGTTTGCTGAGAGTCACTTGTCAGTCCCTGCAGACCGCGGCGGTGAAAGGAGTCCTGTTTTGTGGACACAAGCCGGCCGGAAAAGTCAAGGTCAGACTGATGGATGCCGGTAGGCAGTTTTTGCTCAATTTGTCGTTTCAGCTTTGACAGTTCCTGTCGGCTAAAGCGCAGATTGGTTTACTTTGAATAAATGAAGACGAGGTGGTGGGGGGGGGCAAAAACCACAGATCAATTACTTTGTACTTACTTAAACGAAACGGACCAGACAGCGAT